GTCATTGCCTGACATTTCTGTGGCATGAATGTTACTTTGCCAATTGTCAGCTGAAGGTGATGAACCGGTGATTATATTAACATCAATCTTTATGACTGTTCAATTTAGTTTTAGAAAACAAAAAACACTTTGAAGTCACACCAATAGACTGGAGGGTTGCTACAAAGCCACCTGTAGCTACACCTCCTCCACCAGCGATTGCAGCCACTGACATTAATTTTGCTCCTAAGGATCCAGCTGCTATTCCAGCACCAGTAAAACCAGCTGCAGCAACGACAACAGGGGTAGCAACCACTGCAGCAACTGCAAAATAGAACAACAAAGGCAGTCGATAAGAGATCGCAGCTTCAACAAATCCAGCAAAAAGATTTCCCACGTCCAATGCCCTTCGCAGCTATTCAGAAAGAATAACGACAGCCCTTTGTGTAATGGCAGCATTATTCCAATACAGCACCAACTTTTGAAGGGTTCAACATCATGTCACATGTTTGCATTTTCAAATTCCAACAGGGAGCAAGGCTATCCCCCCAGTATTTATAGAATAGAATCATAATAAACATGAAGCACAGAAGGCATTCAAGCCATCATGGCTGTGTTATTGTTTTGGAAGAACAGTCACACTTGGTCCCTCACGCCCACATAATATACATAGCCTGTAAGTACCTAACAGTATTTTTGAAGTCAATTTCCACACGTTTTCAGGTTGCATGTTCCAGATTCAAACATCACAAATGTAATACCATCTCTCCTCATCTTTGTGATCTTTTCCAATCATGCTCAATGAATTCCAGTTATTAGCCCGGTTGTTTTGCTCTAACTACCCTCTATGTGTTTTGAGGGACTTATTGAATAATTATCAACTTTTATTGACTTGCACTATGTCCTTCATGAATTTGAGTATGTCAACATCAAAGTTTCTCCGCTCACAGACTCAGTTCAGCTTGATAATTTAGTTTTGCGTTGAGGGTGTCCTGAGTTGTCAGTGGTGTGAGTTTTTAAATTCGCTTGTAGGATGAGGGTGTCTTTTTAGCCTGTCCCTAGTTTCCCTTGAGAAGGTGGTGGTGAGTTGCTGCATTGAACTGCAGGGGAGACATAAACCAAGGTGCTCACTATTTGTTGGCATTACTTGAAGAACAGCAGAAGTTCTTCTGCTCTTCTGGGCAAATGTCTTCATTCAACAATATCACTGAAAGCAAATGATCTACTCTTGTGGAATCTTCCCATGCCCAGATCACTTCCCACATAACAGCAGTGAGTAGATATATTCAACTGTTTAGAGAGCATCTTTGGACATCATGACAAGGTGTTAAGTCAGAGTATGAATGCAGGTTGTTTCTTTACCTGCTCCTCCTGCAATCCAGGCAGCTGTTGATCAATCTGTAACACATGGGGAAATACAAATATCAGAAGAGTTTAAAAAACTGATAAAGGCTATTCTTTGATATCAGTAATGAAGTCAAACAGTCAAGTTAAATATCAGACATCACTTTATCAGTTTGTGCAATGCACAGACATATTCTCCTCAGCATGAGTGCTAATAATATCAGGGGTATATTAACATTCAAAACTACAAGCTCAAAGCCCAGTCATATGGCACTGCCTCCAGAGTTTGCATTGTCCATTAAACAGTCACCTGTTACAGGAGCTCAGTTTTCCCTATCCTCAATCCGATTGGACTCAGAATTAGTTTGAGACTCAATGCTGGAGAGTAGCAGCCTGGTCTTCTCCATTTGGGGAGCTTTCGTTAATGAGGTGAGGTGATGAGGGGTTTAGGAGGTGGTGGTCAGGATTGCAGACAGAGCCCAAATAGTATTCTCAATACAGGATTACTTAACGTACTCTTTTTTAACCAAATGCCAGGCTACTCCTATCGAGTTCTCACACAGCTGGGGGCCCTGTTAAAGTTAAGTTTACTAACTTCATGAAAACTAATCACTTAAACTGAACTATCATCTTTGCTTCTCCCTCGACGCATGATGCCAGAAATGCTGACAGCTTTTCCGGAATTCCCTGTTTTTAGGAAAACATGCTTCCTAGATTGGTGAATGCTGATGGCTGGACAGACATGATTTGAAGAAAAATGCTGCACTGGGTCATTTTCCTTCTAACCTATGAGAATAAAAGTAACTGGAGTGCCCAAATGACATTAAACAGTGCAGTAAA